GACACTAACGGTAGCCCACTAGCCACAGACTAGTAGAAATTCAGTTTTGGCTAGTGGTTTTCAATTTCCACCAGCCAGTTTGGCTAGTAAACAGACTGAAATTGTCGTAACATCTAAAAACATCTAAGATGTCACCAGCCACTTGGCTAGTAAGTTGAAAAGTTAGTGTTGAGCCCTGCAACGGTATAAATTATGTATCATCATTTGTCCAAATTAAAGTATTTTGGCCTGTTTAACTGAGCACTACAAAATGTTACAGTGATACCCTCCACCCATGGGTAATGGTAAATTGTTTGTGAAACAGGACAAAGTGGTATCTAGTATCTGTCCAGGAAGATTGGTGTACTGTTAAGAAAGCAAATTGTCCAACGCTTTGGCAGCTTGATCAACTTGGCTCATCTTTTGTGCCCCTGTTTTTCAAATACTGCTCAAATCTTTGATGATCCTCAATCCTTCGGAGATCTCGATGGTGTGAGCATGTGCTCTTAATTCACATGGGTGATAATTACGCAAGGAGTGATTATGGGAACATCTGTCAAGCTACCTAAATACAGGAATCAGTTTATTTATCCAATACCTATTGCAGGTGATCTTGGGTAAAGTGCAGAAGTTTCCATCAAATTTGGATGAAAAGTTACAGAAGCAAGTAATGGATTGTAGTGATGGTTTACTGACAGCAGTTGGAGACACAATGTGTGCCCATGACTTCTATGAAGGTATGACAAGGGCATAGCCAAAACAGGCAGGGTTAATGTAGCATACCTACAAACCCTCCTCTTTACAACTTTCAAGGAATATGCCCTAGTGAGAGAGAAAAGGATTATAGAGAAAATCTGGTCATGGGTTAGCTTTTCCACCATAAAAGTCCTCGTAGCTTGCTATGTGGCAAGTGTGGAAGAAATGAAGAATGTTAGCTTGTAGGACATACTCAAGAAAAAGGAAATGGTGGAAGGTGAAAAACAATCTCCTCTGTGATATTAGCCTTTTTTTTTACAATTTAACACTCTTTATTTGAGTGCTTGTTGTGCATAATATGACAATGTTAACTTTTCAATGAGCTCACTCCCGCTGCTTCACTTCAGGCCAAGGAAGACTGGATGGTGCCTTCTGTGACTACACACTTGAAGATAAACTCAAGTTCCTGCAGAAGATCTATGATGCTGGTGTGCGCAACATAGAGATGGAAAGTGTTTGCTTTGCATCCATGTGTAATCGTGCTGGTGTCCCAGCGGCCATACTATGTGTTACACTATTGGACCGTCTCAAAGGGGATCAGGTGGAATTGACACCAAAGCAACATGAGGACTTTCAGATGAGGCCTCCCAGGCTTGTGGCCAGATTCATCAAGAAAATGTTAGCAGAGCAAAGCAACAGCTGCGAGTTTCATCCGAGGAAACGAAAAAAGGCTTACTAATCATTTCACAATCACATCATCCTTGATGATTTGAGTCTCATGTTGCTGGGGTGACTTGAGATCACTTGTTAAGAATTTTTTGAAAGGCCTCCTTCAGTTAAGTGAATTTTATTGAAATGGAAAGCGTAATCATGATAGAGAAGCAAGGAATTGTAAGGTGTGATGCATGTAATGCACCTCTGCATAACTGAGGGATACATATCTTCATTAAGGGCTTAGTTATTTAACTAGAGAAGCACTAAAATTGCAGGTCAATTTTTTTGGCAATGGGGCAAGCCATATTCCCCTTGGAATAGTTCTTTGACTATACTTTTCTAGAGTATAATGTAATAATATATTTCTGATATTTTAATGTGAGGAGGTAAATAAATATAGTTATTTAGTTATTTACACATTTTAATTAACTCAATGGACAAATTTATTTTCATTTAGGTTTGATAATGTAGATCATTGTTACTTGTTGTAAATGCATTGTTTTCATATTGCAGGGATAAATGTTTTATAGAGTGTGGTTTGTATGGTGAATAAAAAGTACAAGGACTGAATAAAGCATGAAAAAAACAAGTAGAAAATGGTCTCCGAGATGAGTTCACATTTTGCATACTTAAAGCACTAACATTGGACATTTCAGGAAGCTTGGGGCAACAAGCTTTCTTTTCAACTTACTTGTCCCTTTGACTAAGTGCAGTGCTAAGTTTACTTGCCCAGATTACTATGCCCAAAGTCAGGTTAAAAAAAAAAAAGGTTTGTTGCCCATTTTTTTAGTCTGATTGGGTGCGCGAGATCATAATTTTCCTTGCCTGAGTGGACAAGTTACCTGTCCCAGACATTCAAATGCCCCAAGTTGCCTGCCCAAAAGAGAGAAATTTTGCTACAGTTTAGAGTGTCTGACTTTAAATTGGGGGTGCAATAAACCACTCAAACAATATTGTTTTATTCTCCCCAATTGTAAAAATAGACTGCATTGTGACCGAAACTCCTAACCAGCTGACCTTACTGCCTGAAGACTAGGCTTGCATTATGTAGTTGAAACAACAATATACAACAGAAGAGAATTCATTGTTAAACGAATGATAACGCTTTATTATTTATACTCATAATAATAATTTTTTTGTTAACACTTTGCAAAACCACCAAGCACTGTAATCAAGGCTATTCTCAGTCACAGCAACAACAGCTAAAGCAAAATGACTTTCTCTTAAACATTATTACTGAATAACTTCCAATCTTGAATGGTAAGTTAACTGACTATGCAAAAGGCAATGAAAAACACTAGCAAGTGGAAAACAGCCAGTAGCCCTCAAAGATGTTAGACAGACTGATGTACACTCTGGCTGAATCTGAATAGCTAAAATTTTTATGGGGATTTTTCGATTGTTAACATCATTTATAACTTTCTGCATTACACAAAATCTCAGCTAAATTAAGACCCAAGTGATTGAGATTTAAACCCAATTTAAGGCCAAAAGGAGTTAAAAACATATCTTTTTTCATTTTTGGCCATCTGATGCTACCAGAAAACCTAACCTTGGTGACCACATCACTCTACCTCTCAAAGAATCCTTGTAAAAATTAATTAGTTACATGTGGAAACTTTCCAAAACTTGTATCCTTAGCTTCAAGCACACACTTGTATAATTTAAAACACTTTACACAACTTGGGTTATGAGACTAGCATGGTTGGGCCTACAACCCTACTGGGACCAGAACCAGTGATCTACAGCAAGAGGTAGAGTTTCTTCTTTGCTGATACTACTGCAAGAGATAAAACTGTGTAGCTCCAATAGAGTTTATTGGATAATGCCTTTGGCTTGTTGAAAAACTGAGTAAGGCACACACTTCTGCATCACACTCTTGACAGGCTTAACTTTATGTCTGAGTCCTAGGGCCTTCCTTTGCAGCTTCGTCTTCATATTGCACTTCAGGCTTCAGGGTACTCCCTTCCTCAAAGGAGAGTTTTTCACACAAGATCTTAGATTAATTCTACCAATGTCATACAAACCAAAATTTTCACACTGGTATTTCTGGGTTTATATCACGCATATTTACTGCTGCAGTAGTCCTTGGTTGTTCAGACTTTTTAGAGCATTGACAACAATCTCTTGTAGATACTAAGAATAAAAAAGATTGAAGAACATACTTCAAAACCAATATTTAGATAACAAATATGCTCTAATATAAGTTCGCACCATCCAAACCTACTGTACATGTATTACATGACCATTAGCTGGTTAACTATATAGCTGGCAAGATCCTGTGTTCTGATTGGCTAATTATTCTTACTGTGCGTTTTTAAGGACAAAATCAAAATAGATGTTGGCCAATATCTAGCCTTCTTGGCCTCGTGCTTGGTCAATAACATATAAAATTAATATAGCTGGTCAGACAAAACACCAAAAATAAACACTAAACTAATAGTGAGATCCTTCGGAACGGCTCTAAACAAAAATCTAATCTCAAGATCTTTTGGACCTGTTCTCTAAAAGACTCTTCCACTAGCTAACACACTATGACTACTTATTGTGGGCAAGATTATTCCATAAAGAGTGTCACCAGGTCCCATAGGTTGGGAGACAACAACAAAATTTACCGTATTTATCCGTGTGTAAGTTGACCCTTTATGACCAAAAAATCAGCCTAAAAAATCACTCTCTACTTTTACACGGATCATAGTCAAAGACCAGACACAAGCAATCCAAGAAATTAGCATAATTGTCTGAAGTCCATTAGGAAAACCGAGTTCACAAAACCAGTTCTAATTGTGTTTGAGTTTCGTCAGTTTTCAGCGTGTTCTTCATTGACAAAAATGGTTGGCTTAAACAGAAACCTAGTGGGGCTGATTTCTATTGTATCTTCTGATCTGTAGAGCAGACATTTTTCCTCACAGCTTCACTGCTGTTTTTGGAGCTGAATTCTCATATTCACTGAACGATTACAGTAGTTTAGTGACCTAGCAAATGCTGTTTTGTCGTGCAGTCTTGTTTAATACATGTGTGGACATGTTATTGTGTAGTTTCCAAGATGGCAGTGTTTTCATCAAGCAATCCTTTGAAGCTCTTCGGTGTTCCTTCCGTCTACTAAATGTCCTTTCAAAACGTTATTTAAATGCATGAAGATTTCATTTTCAAAGCGATTTACAAAATATGGTAAATTACTTCTCCAGTAAATCGAAGTGCTCGTATATACTTAAATCATGAATCGAGGTGCTATAAACAAGTGCCACTAAACTTCACAGCACACAGTTACATTTTGCTCTGCAGTCTTTTTTTTTTTTTTAATTCACCGAGTTTTGAATACATTCTCAGAAATAAGAGATCAGCCATTTGAGAAATTTCTATCAGTCAGAATTTTTCTTTACTAGAAATGATGAAAAATCTGATTTTTGACCTTGAAAATGGGGGGTTGACTTATACACAGGGTCGACTTATGCATGGATAAATACAGTATTACATAATTGCCTCTGTTGCAAATTAATGAACATTTTCTGCACAGTTTTGTAATCAATGTTTTATCAACAATAGCTGTGGCCTAATTTTAATCTTCACAGTGTGAAAAGACAAGAATGGGATGGCAATACTCTCCACTAACCTGAGGTTTGCAGTATTCTTCCAGCCAGCTGAATATACATGCTGACAAGGCTTCAAAATTCGTTACATTGACAGAGGCATTAAACGTCACGAATTGTGATTCCATGATCTGTCGGAACTGGGAAGGTTGAAATAAAAATAAATGAAACTTCACCTCAGAAATATTCTTTCATCACTATGCTATGGAAACTAAGAGTTAGAATTTTGCATTATTGGTCTTTTAAACTTGTTAGGCACATAGTTAAAACAATAAGGAAGAGTGGTCTTTTCTTAAAAGCAGCACCATGTACATGTACATATACAGTAGTAATACCTGTATAATAAAACTGACAACTTACCACAGTGAATTTGGCTTGGTCTGGTACTGTTTTCTGTCCCTGTGCTGGCTGTGAAAATGAAAAAACAAATTTGAAACAATGAGCATAAAACAGCAACAGAAATGATGTTTTAAGAGTTTACTTCTATATGAAATTACATGTTTATCCAGAAGAGTTGTGCATCCAATGCCATGATATAAGACTAACCCTTAACACCGTCTGCATTTTCTCCAAACTGTTCTCTATACATTTCCTATGCTGCTGACAAGGAGAATTTGTTTAATGGTCAAGAGCTTCTTTGGTTGGAGATCATTTCCTTTTTTCTCATGACCTTAATGAGTGATTTAGTGGTGATATTTTAAGAAGAAATTAATAGATGCTGGCCGGTGTAGGGGTCAAATGGTAAAACCAGGATTACAAGTTCAAATGCTATACCTGATTCTGGTGTGCTTTTGCTATTTGCTCATAATTCCTGAAAATAATGGGAAAACATAGTATTTATCTTTCATCATAAGACCATTTGCTTAGAACCAAACTGTAGCAATGAAATTGAAGCAATTTAAGAATATAAATATGTACTATATGTTTGTTCCTTTTCTTAATGCATTGGGTTGGGATTTTAAATCTAATTTAGGGGTTGGGATTAAGGGTGTAAATAACTTGGAAGGGACTTAGAGTCCTATTGTATTTACACCCACCTTCGGGTGAATCATTAAATAAAAAAAAAATGACAAAAAAAATTATGGTGTGTAGATAAATGTTCAACTTGGTCTGACTAGGATAATCTGCATAATCTGTTTAATTTGACTCGTACAATCTGTATTATTATACATTGTAGTCACCATCTGTTTTCTCATTGGCTAAACACCCACAGTTAATTCTGAGAAACAGCACAACCTACAGATTGTTCACTACTCTGTACCAACAGATCACGAGCAATGCATGATTTCTGGTGGAGCAATGTCAAGTTCACAGACAGCGAAGTAAGAATGGCTTCTCGATAATGCGTTTGGCATTATTTTCTTTAAAACAATGTATAATAAACACAATTATTGGATGAGGTTTTTGTGATATCCAGAATAATCAAGGTCTGGGTTAGTGTTATCAGTCCCAGCCTTCGGCTTTGGCTGATAACACTTACCTTGACGTGATTATTCCGGATATCACAAAAACCTCATCCAATAACTGCTTATAATCTTGTTTCATTAAAAAAGGAAAACAATAAGATCTCACTATAGGAAACTAAACAAAACAAAATGAAACAATTGAAAGTACTACTTACAAGCTTTGTAAGCCTGATAGAAACATCATAAGATGAAATGCAAAACAAATAATTGGCAAGAACATGGTCTAGACCATAACATTTTACTGTATATCTAACCCAACCCCACATGGGAAGGGCAAAGAAAAAAAAACTAGGACATATTACAATTAATGGTATGTGCAACCAGGAAGTTGAAAGTGAGTAAACAACAGAATACCAACAGTCTTACGTCTTCATGATCTTTAAGGCCATCACTTCTTTCCTGAGTGCCTCCAGTTCCTCTTCTTGTTTCTTTCTTTGTTGATGCAAGTACATAATATATTCAATTGCTGAAACAACAACAACAAAAAACAAAAAAAACAAAAAAAAACACAAAAAATCAATAAAGACTCCTCGATCAAATGAGAGTGCTATTTTCCTTGGCCAAGTTCTTCTGCTACTGATCGCAGATGTTGACACAGTTTGTGAAATCAAATTTTATAGATGGGCTTCAAGAGGTGGTTAACCATTTCTGTTTCAACAACCAGATGAAACAATTCTTTTATTCATAACAACCAACCCCTAACAATTTTCAGCTAATAACAATACACAAAAATGTCATGTTTTAGAGATGTTTGTTAACTTAAACTATATTCCTTCCCATGAACAATCACCAACTGAGGGTAAAACAGCTCAATGAAATAAATGATGTTTGGTTCCTCTCTTGAACACTGCTCGTGACCAGCATTGAATTTCGGGAGGCTAGCAGTGAATTGTCAGCACATTGATGACAACCTGGTCTAGATTTTGGTTCCTACAGACATTGCTTTTGTGGGTTCACTGTCTTACATTTTTGTAGAATGATTGCCTTGCTCAGCTTCTGCATAGATGCTGCATTGTTTGGTTGATGGCAGGTTGGTACAATCGTCTGTAGGTCATCATAACCTTTCTGAAAGGTAAATAAAAATGTCATAAACAAAAAAGGCACAAATTGTTTGCTATAAACTTCTCTAGAAACTTAAACTGCAAAACAGCAACTGACTCTTATGGCATCCCTCCTTTTCTGCTCTGCTGCACTGTGTGCAAAACGCCTCTGTTCTTTGGCAACCGTCAAATCTGCTTCTTCATCTGGGGAATCTGCAGAAAAATGATAACATTGATACACAATATAGATTAACAGGTCAGAAATGCTTAACCTTTTTGACTCACATGATATAAAAGTAAATTCTCTACTCTGTAGGTGGAACAATTTCAGCTCTGAGAATTTTGCATTAAGTCCAACCAAATCTCTAAGTTATCAATTTTCTTACTTCTCATTGCAATTCTGCTTTGAAATTTACTCATTTAATTAGAATATTAAGGAGAAATTCTCTCTTGGTCATTCCTTGAAGTGAAATGATCCACATATCAAGTGCATGGGAAGAATAATCACTTCATTAAACAGGCTAATGAAGCAAGTCAGCATGCAGTTAGTAGCAAGTCCTTGCAATAAATCTAACCATCAATTTTCATAGCCACATTTACACAATTTTGATTCACAGATCTTGAGAGCAATTTAAGAAGGTGATTTACAAAGAAATTATTCACCTTCTACTATTGCTTTCATGATTAAATTGTTCCCAACCTTTTTTTAGAAAAGGCAGAAAACAGTGTTGCTTTACAATACTATCACCACACACATGCACTAAGTGCACACCACTAAAAACTAATTATTATCAGTACAATGCTGTATTTATGCTATCGACTATATGTTGATCACGGAGGGTCGTGACTAGATCACGGAGGGTCGTGGGTTCAAATCCCATCCGGAAACTCGATTTTTAAATCGACTATATGTTGCCTACATTATTTTTATCCCTCAAATATCCCATCCCACAGATTCTCCATCTTTAAGACTTCCCTTAAAAAAATTCCTCATTGACAGAAAACTAAATTAAACTTGTCAGTAGTTAGCAAATCTATCTTCTACATTGTGTGAGGAACCCAGGTTTGATAAGCTTCTAGCTTCTGCTGGGCTTCCTCACCACACTATTAATAGATGATCCAAAATTATAATTTTATCTGGTTCAGTATAGAATATTGTGAAATAATATTATTATAGTTATTATAATTTTAGATTGCTGTGAACAACCCTAATTTAATCTTGTGTGTGTGTGTGTGAGTATTATGTCTGTAATTTAAGTATTATTCAATTTCAATTTTCAATTTATTTATTTGCCACTTACACACACACCCACACACACGTCACTATATTGACATTTATCACAGCTACACTTTATATTTCTTCTCCTTTCACTCCCAGAGGTGACAAAAATCAATTGATCCTTACTATATTTATCAGTGTACATTTTCAAGTGAAAAGGAAATGAAGAAAAAAAGGAAACATAAATTTGAGGATAAGGTTTGATTTAACACCAAATTTCCAAAGCTAGAATTATAAGCAAGGTATGGGGTGCAGAGCAAAGAATTGATATTTTCATCTTGGGAAGTGAAAGGATTGATACACAAATAGCTATCAATGTTGATATTTTTCTCATACCAAAGTGTGTCCTTGATGTATCCTCTTCGGGGCTGGCTGGCTCAGACTTGACATCAGTTACGTCACCTGAGATATTAAAAAATACCACAATATAAAAGCAATAAATATCTGGTTCCCAGATCAGTGAGTTGTGATACTGCAAGAGTCTGAACTCTTGAGAAAAAATGGTAAACAACACAACTTGTGGGAAAACAGGACTATTTGTTATTGGTTTATTGTATCTCCAACAATTGAAAACAAGCAAATAAGGATTAAAAAATACACACCTTTCTATCTTTGACAGAAGCAAACATAAAACATTGTACATCATAAAAATTATCTCTGAAAAAATACAGACTGGAAATAACTAAAGGACACTTTAACAGTTTAATGACAGTTTAATGATGACAGTTTAATGATATATTACAATATTACAAAAAATATGCACTTCCTGCAGTTAGCAAAGGCTAGTCGAGGTAGACAGTGTTTAATACGTATATATATTATAAAATATAAAATAAAAAGATTTACAGAGCAAGAGATTCAAAATTCTAGACAAATTACAACTACATTAATACATTTAAGATACGGCAAGAAAACAGAACAAGCTGGGGTCTTATAGTTGTGCTAATAAAGTAGACAAATCAATATAATCCTCATATTTTTCGAGTCTCTGGAGGAGGAAATCATGAATTTTACTCTTAAAATTTGATAGCTGAGGGCACACTTCACAAGACAAGCTATTCCAGATTCTAACACCATTTCTTGAAAATGCTCTTTTTTGTATATCTAATCTTGAACTTTCAACAAAATAGGACTGAAAAATATTTCTTGTTTGCCTTTAATTAGGAAAGAACACTCTAAGCCTCATAGGCAGGACTCTAGTAGAAGAAAATACATAGCAAGGACAGGGTTTGAAGCCTTGCCTTCCCAGCACTTGTTAAGTGCAAACTTCACTGGGTCTTCCATTCCTGTTGCTTTCTTTTAAGGCTGGTTTCACATACCGCAAAAATCCTACAAAGTCAGAGGTTTCATTGCCTACTGATCATCTCAGAGTTTTTGGACTAGTTAGAACTCAAAATTGAAGACATCCCCAACTGTCTAGGATGTTCCGTGACAAATTTGAAAATTCAGGAGCATTTCTATCTTCTGGACATGTCCCAGATTTCTGGGATGATCGCCAATCATTGAAGACTTATGAAAAATCCTATTTTTACCATTAGGGAAATTGGCCAAGGTTTCAGCCCATTATCAATCCTGTAATCGCTTGGCTCTAGTATCCAGTCTTAGATAACGCAAGATCTGTATTCTACCACAACAAACATCTGGTGATCTTCTGATAATTATATCAGCAAAATCTGTGTCATTGGGGTAACAATGAAAATCACCAGTGGCCTGCGATTTTCTCTACATAAGAAAACTAGCCTTCACCTCTTGTCCATTATCCTCAATGCTCTAAATTAATAAAAAAAAGAAAACCAAAAAAAAAAAAATACTGCTGACAAGAAGTTAGCTCACCTGGGTCATCATAAAGCTGGTCGGCACCCCCTGGAATAACCGTCACAAGCTGAAAGAATGGCATTGGTAACTCCATATGTTAGATGTAGCTACGTTTCCGAATCGTCATATCAAATGAACAATGCTTGCGCACTAGGCAACATTGATTTACCTACGTCACGAGAATATGTACTCTGGCTTATATTTAGAATGCTAGAACGCAGGCAACTGAGACCACGGAATTCCTCAACAACAGGAAAAACGCATTACCTGGACAAAGAATTCGGACAAAAGAATTTGAGGAAATGGAAAATTAAGGAATTCCGCCGAGGTATGGACATGAGTAAGGCACATGACTTTCTCTGAGTCGGACGATCGCTAAACAAAAATGATGCTCCGTGAATGAAGTGTTCCCTAGTTAGCAAAAAGAAGAGATACGCTACTTAGGAAAGTCCCCCATCAGGAATCCACAACATACAAACTTCTCTTGAACTAATAAGATTCCCTAACCTGGTGATTCGTAGTCCAATCTTCATCCTCAGCCATTTTGAATCCTCTTTCCGACCACTTCTCGGATGTGATTTTCATTTCCCGTATGTGAGCGGAGGTTTACAAGGCCTTGTGGGTTTGTAGGTTCGCTCCTCCCAGAACATTACCTGATTTGGTAAAAAAAGCTACACGGACGGTCAGCTGAAGACTCATTGGAGTACTTCATATATTTTACGCTTACTTCAGCGTTGATAGTTAGTGGAGACAGTGAATTACGGCGAATACGATAGGTTTGCTGCACTGAGGACTTGGCAAAATGAATCCATCATGTTCTCGTTGTAAAAAGACCGTTTATCCGGTGGAAAAGCTGAATTGCTTAGACAAGGTGGAGTAAACTCATTCCATCCCATGTTGGTAGTGAGAACGTGGGATTCGCTCGCTTTAGGGCTTCGCGATGTTTTGTTCTGACATCTTGCTTCTGTTTCTGGTTTTTCAGTATTGGCACAAAGGATGTTTTTCTTGCGAGGTTTGCAAAATGACTCTAACGATGAAGAATTATAAGGGATACAACAAGTTACCCTACTGCTCAGCGTAAGTTGTAAAACTATAGTAAATTATGTGGAGTTCTGCAATGGCGAGTTCCGTTTAAGTATCGTTACGCATGCATTTCACATTTGCATAGGAATAGACGCAAAGACTCCCTGTGTCTACAAAACAGTTATTTAGCGTGAATCCGTCTGCAATTTCAGGTTAATTGCACTCACCAACCAACATTAGTTCTCGCGACCAAAAATCTTTGGATTTTTTATCATTTCTCTTGAGTAGTCGGTACGGTATGTGCACATCGTTGACACAATGCAAAATTCATTGCAAAATTCATTGCATTTGGAAACTAATGCCCTTCTCTCGTTTAAAATAACTTTTACAAATATATAACCGTTGATAATTCCTTCCTAGTCCAGTATCGTTAAAGACTAAATTGTTTGTACGTTCTTTGAATATTCTCGGATCGGGTTAATTATTTTGCCACACATGGAGTATTCGAATTAGTAAAGCTTATCTATTTAATTGACCTTGTAGAAATCTGCCTCTCATTTCAAGCTGTAGCTACAGAGAAATTTGAATCTTAATGCCGATCTGCGCACTTTCAAGGCTTGATTTGAAAACCACACACCGCTTTCGTCCAATCCTCACACCCTGTGATTTCCATTTTTTTAGTTCATTTTGAGGTGAAAGGTGAAACTTGATTGCCAAATGCTTACGAATTTACGAGCTTCTATTCTGCTCACTTCTTTAAAATTTTCTTTCAAAGCAAATGAATATTGTCAGAGGTAAATTTAAGTTTTCGTCAAGAAAGTGATGCTAAATATCAGTTCATTTGTTAGTACAGTATTGATTAAACGCAGTTCTCGCCACGTGATCATTGCTATCGGAGAGATTTTTTGTTTACGTCTGTTGTCCCTCTGTTTTGATTAATTAGTAATGGTTCTATAGGCTTAAAAGAATTAGTAATTACCTGTTATCCTTGTTCATTATCTATAAATTATTTCCTCTGTTTTGTTTACATAAATTAGAGATTACAATCTTTCCTCTCAGGGTTCATTGAATTACAATGCAATGAAGTTTTATGGAATTTTTGTCAATGGCTGTGAAACATGTGCCTAGCATTGTTGGTGTTATGTTACTTAGTTTCATAGAAATACCACTTTTCTGGGGCATACTCCTCATAAAAGAAGAAATTACATGAATGGAAGTGCTTACTCGAAATACACACGATTATGTAGCTCTGTGCATCTTGGGCTTCGTGAATGGTTTTTTAATACCCCATTTCTTTTACTTATGGGCCATACTGGCATCCCAATTGTCTTCTCTGGTCTTGCTTGCAGCATTGACTCAACAAATAAAAGTTCCCGTATTCTGATGGATTATATCATCATATCAATTGTCAGCTTTGGAAATATTATTCTTTGTTTATGTCACAAAAACTCTTCTGAGCCAAACACTGTGGATTTCTTTAGTATCTTCTCTTTTGAAATAATTTGAATATTCTTTTCAGGCACTACCCCACTACAAAATTTACAGCAGTGGCTGACACACCAGAAAACCTACGTCTGGCTTCAAATACAAAGAAACAGAGTAACGTAAGTGATTGGTTGTAACTCTTAAGCTCCCATTAATGACAGAGACAGAATCTCTCTTTACAACATCAAAACAATATCAAGAAGACAAGTGATGAGAATATAGCAAAATATCAGTTAGGGGATTACTAGTTGACCCAATACCATATTCTCCAAAATTACACGGTAAAAATCCTATTGCAGACAGTGAGGAGAGTTACTTGTGAGATCTTGGGAGCAAACGGGCAGAACAGCATGATGAATTTATCTTGGCCCTGTGCCACTCTACGAAGCTAGCAGGATGATGAAATACACAGAAAGTGTTTTCTACTTCTCTGATCCTACATGCCTTGGAGGCTTTTCTGATCCTATTGGTTTGGATTCTAGAAGTAGCATGAAAAGGAGAATCCTTATAATTACCTCTTGGGCAAAGGGTTCAGGTCAAGGGCCAGGCTGGTTATTGTGTTATGTGCTTGGGCAAAAGTGTTCACTCTCAAAGTGTCTGCAACAAACTTTCAGGGAAATTTGATGAATTGTTTTATGATCATCCTGTGAAGGACTGACATCCTGCCTTAGTGAAGAGTGGAGGAGCAAAATTTCCTGTGGCTTTATTTACACCAGTGAAATTGGCTTAAGAACCCCATGTCTTATAACAAGGATTGGAGTAGGAGCCAATTTTGTTTGGCGATATTGTAGAAGTGAGCCATAAGGTTTGTTTAATTGAAGTGGACTGTGCTTCACAATCGCTTACCCTGCAAAAACAAAGACAGCTGCTGCTTGTGGGGAACACCCAAGGCCCCACTGAATTATGCAGTAAGGGTTACCGAAGCTCTCTTGTGTGTCATTCCCTTTATCTCTCTTTCAGATTCAATATCACAAGGACTTTGAAGCTCAAAAAGGGCATTACACAGCAGTTGCTGATGATCCAGAGACAAAGAGGGCTCAGGAGAGCAATAAGATTGCAAGCCAGGTAGCATACACTCAACACTCCTCAGGACAGAGTCGTCTCGGCATTCAACAACGTACTCAGGAAGGCATGTATTCTTTGAGTTGTGCATAGATGTATTAAAGTTCAGTGTATGATAAAAGGGTGGGCTCAACCACCAGCTGCCAGTGAAATTTGCAGGACCCTGTTAACAAGAGCACTTTGTACTTAAGGGTTATCTTGGATAGATATTTTGATTATTATTATTATGTCAGCGATCACTGGGTTGTGCACTTCTAATCATTCAATAATAAGTGTTATTGTCTTATTGGAATGAGTTAATTATATGCCTGACTAACTGGAGTAAAATAATTGAAATAAAATGTGTTTTGAGTCACCTGTATATGGTGAGTTCTTTCCATTTCTTGCATCCCTCAAGTTGTAATCAGGAAGCTCAGCAGCCCAGCATTCAAAGCTTTGCAAACGACTGGGAACAAAGTGTCATTACCATATGCAGCTTCTCTCTAAATCTATCAGATTTACCAGAGTGAACCTACACTGTTTGGCATCTTACCTGATCTGTTAAACCTTCCTTTGCATTATTAGAAGTGAGACAAATCCAGACTCAGCGACGCATGTCTCAAGAGCATCCAATGGCAGGAGATCTACCATATCAACCTCCACCACAAGCATACATGCCAGAACCTTCGCCACCACCACCAAATCCTGCTCCAGTATCAAGTGGAACGGTTAGTAAATGGTATTCTATAGAGAAAGCGTGGTTCTTTGCTAGAGAGCACTGTCATAGAGTCTTGTAAAACAAAACCAGAGCAATGACAATGTTAAATCAGAGTGAAAGAAAAATAAAATACCCAAAGCATCCTTTGACTGGGTTTTCATAAGTGGGTGGTAGGCAAAGATCAGACCATTCTGTGCCACCTACTTTGTAAATTGTGAACTAAGACAGAAATTGAGTAGTTTTGAACTGGTTCAAACATCTCTGTCTGGCTCAAAAAAAAAAGTTACACAGGTATGTCCAGAAAGCTAGAAATGACATCTCAGAGAGTTTAAAATTTGAAATTTTCAACGGGAGCATGCTTCTAAAAGGATAACCCTGCTTTGAGAATTTTAAGTAAAAAACAGGTAAACTGCTGAAATGGCAGGAAATGCAAATGAGTAAGTTACAATTGGTATTGGTTTTGTATCTGATTTGTTGAGAGGAAAGGGCAAGTTTTCTCCACCAATCAGAGAGAGTTAACACATAGCAAATGCATCACTGAAAAATTGTTGTAATGGTTGTCAGTTAGGTGATTTCAGTCCTAGTTTGGTTAAGTGCTATTCCTGGCTCAGAAATCAATAACATCCCCAGAGTTTCAAATTCTTCTAGAAAGTTTACCAAAGGCAATTGAAACACCTAACAGAATTGGGCCTTGATACTGCCATTACACATCTGTTTATTAGTAATGTGTTGCAATAAGACCTAGCGGCACAAACTGATTGAATTTGTATTTTTCCTCAGCAGAAATATGAGGCCATGTATGACTACACGGCAGCAGATGATGACGAGGTCAGCTTTCTAGAAGGTGACTTGATCAGTGAGGTGACAGTGATTGACGATGGGTGGATGGAGGGGCGGGTGGAAAGAACAGGGCAGTATGGAATGCTGCCTTCAAATTACGTCGAACTTGTCTAATCAAGAGATGCAGCTTTATTTTGCCTGAGAGCCAGATTGTTAGTTGCATTTGTTAGGGAAAGAATTAAAATAGTGAGTTGAACTTTTGTTACTGGTGATGTCAGTAGAAATTTTCTTGACTAAAATTATAATATTGATGACTCGTTTAGTTTACTTTAATTTTGAGCCTTTTGCACTAGATGTTTCAAAGTTGTCATAAATAGGAAAGTACACATGTATGTTAGAACACATGTATGTTAGAACACATGTATGTTAGAACCTCAATTATTTTTGAAATTGTATTACGTTCACAATGAAAATGTAATGTTATTGACTTGGTTAAGAAATCATCTACAGCACTGAACCAGGGGAATGTCAGGAAAGCATGAAATTAATTAGTCACAAACAGAAAAAGTTTAAATGTGACTTTGCAGTGGTTCAAAGATTGTGAATTACTACTCAAACCAATCATCCTCCATTCATAATGGAAGGTTACATTATAGATGTTGATGGCTTGGGTAGTGGTGTGAGCTTTTGTATATTAATGTTTGGTGGTCTCCTTGAAGAATAGAAAGAAAGTGGAAGATGGCGGAACCCTATTCCTTACATCTTTGTTCTGTGTTAGCCATAAGAAGATGCTCTCATTTTATGGGTGTCTGCAGAAAGAGTACCCTCTGAGAGAAATTCATGTATTTGAGATATCTAGGTAACAAACAGTGAAGGAAATTAATGTAATTTAATGTAGGGTAGAATTCATGCCACATAGAACATGAACCCCTAATTGGTGTTCATTATGGCCTGCTAAGAGTCAAAGCATTTTGTTGGGGGGGGGGGTGTGCAAAATCCCTCAATATTTATCATTTAAAGGTCATAACTTTGTTTCAAGCGAAAGGTGAAATATTTTTTTTTCTAATTATTTTGAAACCTGATAACAACTGAACAACAAGTCCAAACCACTTGTTTTTTCTTGTCATCAGCCATCACAAACTGAATTGACTGCTAGAGTTGGTTATCAAGTGAGACATTTTTGTCTGCCACTAAGCCTGCTTTTCCTTTTCTGTGAATGCTCAAGTATCCATGCCTATTGATCTGTATGCATGTGCTTGCACTTATGCTGGCTTTGAGGCAGTTTTTGCTGGAAAATGAGCAGTAGTACGCATTTGCTTTTATCAGTAGGGGCAGACAGGTCTTTCAACTCAAGGTTCAAGACAAATCACATGCAACAAAGAAAGAAATAAGTCAGTGAGAGTTGATGACTAGTTACTGATCAGAGATTTGGTATCTGTTCAATTTTTCTCTTTTTTTTTTTTTTTTAAGGTGTTAAATTTATTTTGATTTTGTGGTAGTTTCTGAAAATCACCCCTAAATACTTGATTCAGAGTTTAGTTACAGTGGATCAGTGCTGTTGACACAAATCTAACCATTATTGTTTCAGGAGATGTCCTTTCATCCATTTGTTTCCTTTTAATAATCTCCTTTTACTCTGTATTTCCTAAACTTTTTTTTTTTATAGCAATTTTTAATTTTCAATAGTGACAGTGGAATAGAAAAGACTAATTTTCCTCCTCTGGAAACATTTTTGATAGGGCTTGTACTATTCTAGTAGTATGGTGAGGATCTTGTATGTTTGTGCCTTTCTTTATTCTTATTTAAGTTAGCTGCCGCAAAATTATTGATGTGTTTTGCAATGGATGCATCTCAAAAATAAAGTTTGAGAAAAAATAGTTTGCTGGTTGTAAAACTTTTGCATTTAGGTTGGACTATTTTGTATTTCGATGTGCACCCTTTGATTGACTGTTGTGTAATCAAAATTTAACAGAGCAGCCAATGAGAAGAAAGAAAGAAATCTCAAGGAGCCAATGGAATTTCAAAGTAAGCTACCAAAAGCACAGGAAAATGCATATATCTTATTAACCAATCGTGAGGGCCATACTAGGAGAATATTGGCCCGAGGTCTTGACAGTACAGACCGAGCACAGCGAGGTCCGTACAAAAAAGACCTAGGGCTGATATTCTTCCAGTATGGTCCCGAGCAAGCTTGGTTAATAAGAGATTTATTATATGACTGAAGTTCAAAGGGACACGAGTGCAGTATCATATGGGGCCATTCGGGACAGTGCCCGGTCCAATACTGAGAGAATATTGACTAGCAATAGAGCATTTTGATTGGTTGATTTTAGTTATTGGCCCTCTGACTGCCTGAGTTGTGTAGTAAAAGTGAGTAGCGATTGGTTTTATGCTTTTTCCAATAAAAGGATGTAAAGAATTACAATCCATTCAATCCCGCTTACTCTTTACATTCTGATGAAATTTGCTTCCAGAAAAGCAACTGGCTCTTTGGTGGAAGGGAAAATTTTCTGCAAATAGATGATCATTCACAGGAGAGTCCTTGGGGATTTTCCCAGACTAGAGGTCAACGTGAAAAATCTAAATCGTGCCTCTAATGTATAAGACTTTTCCAACAAGCTTCAGAATTGAAGATGTCGTCAAGCAGTAAGTCTTTGTTCAATTGATCCATGTGATATTTGGGTGCTTTCCCCTCTCCCTCTAGCCCACGTATTGCCATACCCTCCCCTTCAAGGTGAAATGAAAGGGAGGGAGGGTCCCCTCTCCTCCGTTTCACCCTCGTGGGGAGGGTACGGCAATACGTAGGCCACTCTCCCTCCGCCCCAACTTCTTTAATCTGAAATTGAGGCTCAGGACTACTCCACAGTAAAGGCTCGGTTACTTTCGTAGATGAAGAAGAAAAGGCTCGGTTACATTGTAGATTTACCAAACCTTGCAATTTACAGAAGGAGATCGAAGATGCCACTACGTTATCTTCTTACGTAAGGCTTGAAGCTTATTTACCGGTGTTAAGTTTGTTTTGTGGTGGAAATTTCCAGTTTATCATTGCAGTTTATTGGTGGTGCAAGTAGAATAATCGTAAGGAAATTTCACGGAAAACCAACTTCAATTAGTATTCCATATCGTCATCGGGTTGAACACGTATTGAACGCGTATTGAACAGTGAGAAAATGAACCGGACCATGGTGACGCTTTAATTTAATACCTGATTTTTAATCAGCCTTTTAATCGTTAAACACAATGCGATCATTAATGCTATGAGTCCTGTCCTTCACCATAAAAGTTCTTAGTCACTTTTCAGATATGTTTGAAAAAGAAATTTGACTTTGATTCCATGGTTTGTAGGTTTCTGGCCAATAAACAAGTTGTCGATAAGGTAAGTAATGAATCCAAGGAACATATTGCGGCAAAGAAATCTTTACTGCAGAATGCATAAATTGTGAGTAAATGTTTTAAGGCAGAAGTTAAAGGCTACGTTAATTAACTTATTAAGTCACCTTTCCCCATTTTACACAACTGTAAAATGGACTATTGTGGAGCAAAGTTTGATGCATTAGACTGTCCTTTACTCTAGAATTTGGTTCTATCAACTGGGTTGAAAGTTATAAAGTCAATTGAACACCGTAAACAGTTCATAATCCTGACGTTTCAAGCGTTAACCCTTTAGTAGAGGGAAAGAGCTGACAATCAAAATTTCCACTTTAGAAACTCTACATGCCATTAGAGACAGCACGTCACCCAAGCCGAAAATAGACTGGACACTGCAAGGTACTTGGAAGGGGAAGTCTGGTTTCGATAAACAAGGGTGCCTGACGAACCCTGACCCGTGACAGCCTGACTCCTAAAATGCTCTAGTTTCAAGTGAGATTTTGCAGATCATCGAAGTTTTTAACGTTACGAGCCCTGACCCCTGCTTTACCGGTGCAGTGCTCTACCATTTCAGCTATAAAGCCAACTGGGATTTGGGCATTTAAGTAAATTTTCAAGTATAATCCTGTAGAGGATGTTTCAGTTAGTGGAAGCGTTACAACAATCACGCAACAGTAATTTCCGGTTGCGACAGGATTATCGGCAAAGATTTTTTCATCCTTTGTGACCCCTTTTCGAATTAAAGTGAAGTTGGTTTGTCTCCATTTATGAGTTAATGTGTAGCCCCAAATGGAAAAAAAAAATACTCACTATAAGTAGGTAGAAGATCGTCGAATGGTTTATCCCATATCATGTCTTGAAATGAATCAATAGTTGTTGCATATATCTCATGCTTAGTTTTTGGCTGATGAAAGCCTTTCGCAAACCACTCCATCTCCGCCTTGAAGGCGTAGGGCATTTGTCTTCTGCGAATTGTAGTAGAAGGATTAGAAGGATTCATCTCCATTAGATCAACAGTGAAAAAGTCAGGATCATGCAAGGGTATCGAACTGGTTTATTTTATTCAGGAATTTAAGGCGCACTTATTGTACTAGATACCAACTCCCTCTGAGTTATTTCTTAGTGTCCAGTCTATTTTCGGCTTGGGTGACGTGCTGTCTCTAATGGAATGTAGAAACTCTTTCCAGAGGTCAGTCAATGCCTTGATTATTAACTCAGTTATTAATACTCCCCAGGCCCCCAAAGATACAGCACCATGGTTACTTAACCCCTTCTGACACCACTCTATCAATTTACAGTGTTTCAAATTCAAACCTACATGAGTACTTATCCACTTGGGAATTTGCTGTGTAGTACCGCTAAGTAATTTTACAAGTTTTGCTGTATTTTGATGAGCCCACAGGGCAAGTCAAAACACCAATAACGAGTAAAACTACTCAGTGATGCAACCCACCAAAACATCTAATAAGTTATTTATTATCCAACATGCTAAATTGTTATTTCTGTGCAGGCAAATTTCACGGATATTTATTTACGGGGAGTGCATGACAGATGTATGCAAAGCAAAATGGAATTGGCACTTTGTGTTGCTGTTTCTATTGTCTTCAATAAATGATGAAATTTCAGTGTTGTTTAACTGCTTTTCTTTGTTCGATTTATCTAATAAATTTGGATCAATATACGCCAGCCATTTGGACTCTTCGTTGTCTGAAAAATGATTTTAACTGTCTGCCAATTTTTTTTGCAACTTTAATCCAACTCATTGCTTGCACAATGCGAGAACACCTGTCTAATAGGTTCTCTGGAGTACAAATACTGCATGATATTTGTACTCTACAAAGGTTAGTTAGATAATATTGTTAATTAGTACAAAACTTGTAATCATGTATTTTCCTAGCCTGCAGTGCCGGCATATTTTGAGCGCACGAGTGTACATTTTCGTATTAGGCCGCCATCTTAGATTTGATAACTGTGGAGGATTGGGGCGAGGAAATATTTGCCGAGGGAGTAGGTGTTAAGTAGAAAAATGGGCAGCGGGGAGAGGGAGGGGAAGGGGAAAAAATATTTTTCCCTTCCCCTCCCTCTCCTCCGCTGCCCATTTTTCCACTTAACACCTACTCCCTCAGCAAATATTTCCTCACCCCAATCCTCCACAGTTACCGAATCTAAGATAGCAGCCTAATATGAAAATGTGCACTCGTGTGCCCAAAATACGCCGGCACTGCAGGCTAGTATTTTCCTTTTCTTTTAAATAGTAAATTCAAATAGATGTTTTGAATGATGAATGTTTTAATGATCACCCACAATTCACAGGACGTATTTGTTATACATTATTATTAAGTAACCATTTCAAGGCCTCTAAATGGGAAGTAAATGTCAGACTAATAGTGTTTTTACTGTTGACAGCTTGCCAATTCATACCCCATTCGCCGTCTGGCTCAGCTCACACATTACACATACAGACAAGTAACACTGTGGGGTGAGTTTGTAATTAACACGTTCATTCTTAGGAGGGGGCACTAGGATTTTCAGTTGCAGCTTTGACTATTTTTTAGATAAGTTTGGCTTTCTCTTCTGAGTGGCAATTATGTGCCTTCATTGTTCTCGAATAGCTGAAAAACCTCTGTATTGGATCAATTAGGGTTTTGGATATGAAAATTTATTGGTTTTGAGTTTTACAAGTGCCTCAGAAGTTTAAGGATCAATGTTAGTCGGGAATTGATATTTAACCACAATTATTATGAGGATCATTATTACAGCTTGAGAATCTACCAGCTTTCCGATCAAAAATGAAATCACTACCCCTCTAAATTATGTTGGGAATAATTTAGTCCCAGTGAACACAACTCAAAGACAAGATCTTATTTCTTTTTGTTCATAGGCACTGATGCTCTTGATAAAGCCGTCAAATCAAGGGAAGCTCAGGCAAATGTTCAGCAAAGTAATCAGATATCAAACAGAGTTGTTTCATTCTCAAGGAATTTTTTCAAAAATATTCAAGAAGAGATAGAAAAGATCCAACAGAGGCCAAGATATTGACACTATCACCCTTTCATGGGTTACCTTGTGACACCTTGAAGGGGTTTAAAAGCACCCACATCTTTTTCTTGTTTGTTCCACGACAATGTAGAAAGTTAGGGACTTTTGAAGTGGTTTAAAAATTGACAGGTTGCAAAGAAAATTGATTTTTCAGCTTGCCCTATTCAACCATTTTCCACTGAACCCAAAGCTCTTCATACTGGCCTTTCCTCATCTGTTGACAGAAGACTGAAAATTTGTTTCTTGCCCTTTGGGTAAGTGATGAATCAAATCCACTAACCCAAGTGGAAATTCAGCTGGCCTTTGGCTATGGGTCAGGACTTTCTACGCATGCTGCTTGAACCTTGCATTGTGGATTATATTCCAGTTGTTACAAATTGCAAGACCATGGGACCACAGAATTTTGGACAAACAGAAGGAAACTTAAATTTCCACTTTGCAGGGGATATGGTAACACCTCAAAAGAGACAGTTGAAAAAGAAATGTAAATGCCTACAAAAAAGCATTATCAAGTTAATATTTGATGTTTGCTATGTAGCTCTTGAAAACTGATTTTGACAGTCAAGTCTAAATTTACTGAACCACAAGTAAAATGCAGTGATTTATAGTTTTTTGTATAACAATGGATGTTTGTTTTCCTATCTTCATATTTTTCTAGGGTGGAATGTTCAATATTGTAGCATGGAATCCTACAATGTCAGGCTGAATAGCTGGTACTAATTGCTCATTCTACATTGTCATCTTGCAGTAAAGATGAAAGCCACATTATACTGATGGCAAAAATAAATGAAAGTCTCTGTTTTTCACCCAACAATAAAATCAAGAATTGCAAAAGCCATGTTTTTAAATTTAAGACTTTGTGGTTACAACATTTGACAGTTTTCAACTAGCCTAACTAACCCCTCCATCCTTTGAATTTCGACAAAAAACAATATTTTAACTGAGCCAAGTATTCTTTTCTTTTTTGCACTTGGTCAGCAAGTCAGTTGGTAATATAAGGTTCAAGATGCAGCAATTCTTTCAATGGTTTTCCTGTAGTGTGATTCCAGCTCTTGGTACAACTGCTCAAGGTGCTGCATTCGCTCTTGTGGAGTCTGCATGTTGACAGTTGCACTCAGTTCTTCAGGCTTTAAGATAAGCTTCAGCTTTTCCATATCAGCTTTCTCTTTCTAAATAAGATATAATTTAAACCCTTAAAAAAAACTGCTGTTCACTTCTATCCTGGCAAGGTATATTTATTTTAGAGTCATTTGACAGAGATGAAATACTACTATGAAATATGAAAACTTAAACTCAAAAACTTACTTCTCACATAGAAAATCTAAACTTTTTATGCTCATTGTGGATGTACTTCATAAAAATAGTTTCTAAAATTAATTTCACTACATGGGCACGAATAAAAATAATAAAATTTTGTTTCAAATGCCAAATGGTACAATGTAGCTGTTAAAAAAGTCAGGTGAGAAGTTTCAGCAATGTTTCTCTGAGTATTTAGCAATGCATTGCACATTATACCTGAAAAGGGACATTAAGCCTCTTTTTCACTTCCAGCCTGTAAGACTTGTAATCCTCTGCATTGCTAAGATCTGTGACACGAAGACGGAGAATCTCATAAACTCTCCTGCACTGAATCTGAAGAAAAGAAAGAGAAAGGTTTACCAAAAAGGTTTCACCTCAATCTAGCATAAACTAACATTACCGATTACTATTTTACCCTTAATAATTTACATGAAAAAATTTCTCTGTTCTGATTGGTTAAGATGAATGCAGTTTTCAGTTAATTCAGTGTAGAAGAGAGTTAATTCAGTGCAAAGAAAGAACAAACCAGGCATTCTGATTGGTCA